CTGAAAAGAGCATCAAGGGGATGGAGCAACTTCCCAATGAAGAACAGTTGCAGCGTTTGGAGCTTTTTAGTTTAGAGAGCAGGCCAGTAAGAAGTGATGTGATAGAATTTTTATAAAATTATGCATGACATGCAACCCCCCCCCCAACCCATAACAATTTGGGTTTTCCACGGAGCACTGGCCGGAACTTTAAAGCACAGACTATGCCTGGAAATTGTGGAGGAAAGGTATGTGTGGACAAGCCCTTCTGCTCCTCCCGTGCCTGGAAAGCACAGGCCTGACAAGCTTTCCCATTGCCTGGCTTCTTTCCCAGGAAACACCTGCTCTGTAGTGCTAAATCGTAGCAAATGCCAATCCGGAGAAAACCCGAATTGCTGTTTGCTCTGACTGGTCACCAGGTAGCTGCTTTCCCCAGGAGAAAGCCATAGGACGAGATAAGCCTTCAGAAGAGGATTAGAGAATTTAATGGAGGAGAGGGCTGTCAAAGGCTATTAGCCATGATGACTATGTTCTGCCTCTAAAGTTGGAGGAAGCAGAGCTTCTGAATACCACCAGATCCAGAGCCAATGGCAGCCAGGCGCGGAAGGCCGACAGGTGGTGGATCCAGAGACACTGGCAGGAAGAGTCAACTAACTCTAGTTTTGCTTCCACCGTCCTCCCTGGTGAGTGACATGGAGGCAGAGGAGGAAGAAGCAGATAGCCAAGGCCACTGCCTGGACCTGCTTGTAAATAAGGAGGCAGGCAGGTGGGGAATGGCTAAGGCAGAGTGAGGTCGGTGGGGCAGGGTCACCATTGTCCTAATGGACCATCCCCACTGCCTACTGGACATAGTCCCAAAGGATAGAGGAAGCAAGAACAAAGAGGAAGGTGAATGGAGCAATGTCAGCTGGGAAGGGAGGTTACCCTCCAACCCAAGTATCTCCTCAGAGATACAATTCTCAGAGGGGTTCTAAGATACCTCTTCCCAGGGATTTTTTTAGCTTTGTGAGGGGAATAGTGGTCTCCCAGCAACTCCTGGCACCCATAACCATGGGATTCTTTGGGGATAAGCCTTGGTATAAGTCAAGTGGAATCCTACTGCTCTAAAGGCATAATGTAGATGGGGATTCTGTGTTTGAATGGATGACATATCCATCTTGAATTCAAGAGTGAGAGTTATGCCTATTGGCTTTTCTTTGGTCCTAGGCATTGCTCTGCCCATTAAAGCTCAGCTCCACTAATGGAAATTTAGGGGAAACAGATTTACTGTGATGGGTCCCAGTGTAGTTAATACAGAGTGAATTTATGCTGCTTTCAGGGAGCATTTAAGGGAGCACTTAGAGCCATGTGTGCTTGGCAGGCCAAGCACGGTTATGCTGACCTTACACTGAAGCCAAGTATGCCTCTTTCTCTTCCCTCGTTTTGCCCTTCTAAACTACTCCACCTCTGTGCACACCAAACTCACACCAGCCATTCATTTCTTGGTTCCTCTTACAGGAGTTGCAACCACTCTCGCCACCCTATGACCAAGGGGGCAGTGAGTGTGGGCAGAGTGGGGCTCAGAGGCTTTGTGGGTCCCCACAGACCTTGAGGTCCTCCCCAAGCACCCAGAAAGTCTCTGAGATCACCCCCATCACTGCCTCCATTGTCTCTTGAGACATAGACAGATGCCCACAACAACCTGATGCCACTGCTATAAAAAGGCTCAGTCTCAGCTGGTTCCTGCTGGAGCAGCTTTGGAGCTCTGCATCCTACCAGGTGTCCAATCTGACCCTCAACTTGTCCTACATCCAGTTGAGCCTTGCCACACCACAGAGCTGGGTGATTGCCTAGGTGTGTTTGGAGCAAGCCTGCTCTGAGGTGAGCCATGCTTTCTAAAGTGGGCCAGGCTTGTGTTGATTGAATAAATGTATGGGTAAAGGTAAAGGTAAAGGGACCCCTGACCATTAGGTCCAGTCGTGGCCGACTCTGGGGTTGTGGAGCTCATCTCGCTTTATTGGCTGAGGGAACCGACGTACAGCTTCCGGGTCATGTGGCCAGCATGTCTAAGCCGCTTCTGGCAAACCAGAGCAGCTCACAGAAACGCCGTTTACCTTCCCACCTATTTATCTACTTGCACTTTGACGTGCTTTTGAACTGCTAGGTTGGCAGGAGCAGGGACCGAGCAACGGGAGCTCACCCCATCGCGGGGATTCGAACAGCTGACCTTCTGATCGGCAAGCCCTAGGCTCTGTGGTTTAACCCACAGCACCACCCGCATCCCATAATGTATGGGTGGTGGGATCTAATTCAGGAGCCCTGGACAGAGCAGGCCAGCCGGATGAGAACATGTTGTAAGTCACAACATTGTTGGCTTCTGATGGATGTGTTTAAGGGAAGCCCGAGGAACAAAGTGTGTTCAGATCGTTCTGGTAACACTTAATCTGGCTAAAAGCAATTAAACCGCCCCCCCCAAAAGGAGACACCAGCTGAAAAGAAGCATGTGGTAACTCCAACCCACATAGCTCAGTGGGATGAATTTTAATGGACTTCTCAGCCTGCGTCAGAACGTTACTTTCTGACAGGAGGCTGTTCTTACTGCCTCTAGGTGAGGAACCTTGTCTCAGAAATAGGTTAGGAATAGAGGAGAAATTCAATTAAGTTCACTTTTAAAGGCAACCCCCCACTCTCCCCGGTCTGTGCTTTCTAAAACAGTACACAAAGTGGAGCTATCCTACAAATTTCGCACTTGACTGAATTTTGCAATGCAGTTCTCTTTCCCAGTTTTTGTTATTGTTTTGCAGTCCCAGGCGGGCAGAGAAAATACAACCAGCCAGGAGGCTTATGAAGCCCCTGGTGGGATGCCACGCATGGCTGGCAGCCTGCAGTTGTCTCACTGGTGGATGGATTGGGTAGACCTGGCACAGAATCAGGACTGTACCCCTGCCAGCCTCTCCTGCACTGCTGCATCTTTCCAGGCTGATTAGGGTGGCAGGAGGGCCATGGACTGGGGCCGGGAGCTGCACCAGCATGGTGCCATATTGGAGGTCGGAAACCGCTTTTGGCCTGCGGTCTGCACAACCAACATCTTGAAGTCCACAATCCAAAGGTGGGGGTGGCCAAAGTGGACGACTCATGCCTCACACAATGCCTGGCATGGGAAAGGCAAAGCTGTGCCTGCAATGGGAGCTGCTGGGTACATCTGATCCTTGCTGAAAGGAGCGTGACATGGAAAGGCACCAAGTTCAACTGGCAATGGGAGAATCAGCGATGCGCTCTAAAACTCAGAGTGTGCTCCTGGCTGTTGCTTTGCAGCTGTGGGCTTTATTCTGCCTGTGGCTGACATGACAGGTGATGGACATGTGAGCGGCTTGCCTGGGGCAGCTTTGTGGGCCAAATGACAGCCTAATTAGTCTGTGGGCAGAAGGATCACCAGCACTGTGCTATGCATGCTCTGAATTTTCCCCAAGACAAAGCTAAGGGGCAGTGCCTGGCAGGAGGGGGCGGAGTCTGGTAGGTTAAAGGAGCTGCCTGCAAGGGGCAGAAATCAGGACCTACCAAGTGAAGGGAAGAGACTGGCTGTGCCTGATGAACATGGGTGGTAGGAGCAGAATGAAGAAAAGCTATCAAGCTAAGCAGAAACTGTCCTGCTCCTCTCCTCCTTGATCCTAATCCTTCACCCTGGGGGTGCTGGTATGGAATTTCAATCCCCTGGAATTTCATGTCAAACCCTAAGCCACAACTGAATAAGCATTTGCACCTGTCAGAAAACCAGAAGCACCTCAGCAGCAGTGGCTAATGTACAGTTGAATTAATTGAACTGCGCTAAAGTACACTGAGCGGGACACAGGTGGTGCTGTGGGTTAAACCACAGAGCCTAGGATTTGCCAATCAGAAGGTCGGCGGTTCGAATCCCTGCGATGGGGTGAGCTCCTGTTTTTCAGACCCTGCTCCTGCCCACCTAGCAGTTCGAAAGCAGGTCAAAGTGCAAGTAGATAAATAGGTACCGCTCCGGCGGGAAGGTAAACAGCGTTTCTGTGAGCTGCTCTGGTTCGCCAGAAGCAGCTTAGTCATGCTGGCCACATGACCCGGAAGCTGTATGATGGCTCCCTTGGCCAATAAAGCGAGATGAGCACCGCAACCCCAGAGTCGGCCATGACTGGACCTAATGGTCAGGGATCCCTTTACCTTTACCTAAAGTACACTGAAGTGCATAGCATGGTTGTTTTTCTGTCTGTCAGCAAGTGACACCAGCACCTTCTTTGCTTCTATCACAAAGAACTTCTTACATTCAAGGAAGAAAATGTACATTTTCCCAGAGTGGCTGGGGAAACCCAGCCAGGTGGGAAGGGTATAAATAATAAATTATTATTATAAATTATTATTAAATCTAGGACCAGCAGTAAGATTTTCACTGCTACCGAGAATTCAAACTGGCCACACCAAAATGCATCGTTTGCCAACCTGCTGAAAACCAGAGCTAAATTTCTCCATTTCATTTGCACCCGACGGAAACCCTGAAGGATGACTCCCGGACATCAAATACTGTTGAGAACGAAACACAGAACACAGTCTGAAAATAGCTACGCCTTGCTCCTGAGCATGAAAGGCAGCGGGGCATGTCATCTAGTATAAAAGTGGCAAATCTGATCAGGAAACAAATCTGAGCCATACGGACCAATTTCACACCAGCCTGCTCCCAAAAAGATGTCCGTCTCCACCGGAGCTTGCCTAAGCACTCGAGAAACCTGCTCAGCCCTGAAAAGGAAGCAAAGGGGTGCTTGGCGAGGAATCAGAGCTGCAGGCAACGTGTCAGTATGCATGCAAACTTTGAACCATTCAGTACAAAGCTAACTTGTGGTACAGGCAGACAAGGGGGCACACAGAGGACAGGATTTGGCCGCTGGGAGAACAGAGTGCTGGATGAGATGGGCCTATGGTTTGATCCAGCAGGGCTCTTATGTTTGATTCAGACCCCAGTCAGGTACTTTGGAAAACCACTCGTCTCAACCTAAGGCACTTTGTAGCTTCAATACTGCTTAGGGTCCCTCTGTGGTGGAGTGGTAGAGCATCTGCTTTGCATGCAGGAGGTTCTGGGTTCAATCCCTGGTATCTCCAGGTAGGGTTGGGCTCTTCCACTGTCTGAAAACCATGAGAGCCATGTCAATATAGACAACACTGAGCTAGATGGCCTGACCTGACCAGTATTGGATTTAGGGAGGTTCCCTCGCACATGGCGCTGAGCTGAGGGGGCACAAAACCGAGAAGATCCAAAACTGAGAGGATCCATTTGGGGGTGCCAAATTTTGGCCTCGCTTAGGGTGCCATATTACCAAAGATTACTAAAGTCTGTCCCGACCTGACTCAGTATAAGGCAGCTTCTTATGTTTCTATGAGTCCAGTTCAGCTTCCTCCCTACATTATCAGTCAGTCTCAGAAATGCCTGCTCCCTCCACACATTTCCTACATAGAGCAACATCCCTGTGACTATGGCTTAAGCAACTTTTCAGCATGTCTTAACTCGCTCCAGAGGAGATGTCTTTTTGGTCCATGCTGTAAAGACCTAATCTGGGTATTCCTGGATGCAGTTGTGAATCAGACTGCTGCTAACAAACGAGTTTAATTTTCCACTGTGTACAAAAATGTGCATTCCATGGGGGAAGTGCTTACAAAGCTCCGTATTTTAGGGTGGAAATGCGTGCAAAATTAGTATTTTAGCAGAACGTGTGCACAAAACCGCACATTCAACTAGGTTTGAATAAACCCACTGAAGCTAATTTCAATGGGTCTACTATGAGTCAAACTTAGTTGAATGCCATCCATACAATTTGAATGCAAATTCCCCGTTTGTCTGCTTAATCCTCAATTGACCACTTGGAATGGCCCCTGCTGTTTATTTGATTCCATTTGTGGATCGCTTCCCATAACATATCTCATAGCAATTGCTGAACACATGCAGGACTGCCACAAAATGCAAATAAGCAGATCTGACCACCCCGGTTCTGAAGCAGAACTGAGGTTGATCAAGATTTCCTTTAAAAGGGCTGGTTCCACGTTTGAACTGTCCTTCAAACACCAAACACCGGCCTGACCATGAGGCAAAGTAAGGTGATATAGTAAGTAAGGTGCTGCCTCCAGCAGCAGGTCCACAAGGTGCCTCATCTACCCAATTGCCTCCACCATCAATGGAGAAACAGTGTCTTCATTGGCACTAGTTTCTGGTGAGATTTTGCAAGAAGCCAACACTCTGGCTGGTGTTTCTTGGGAGCCACCATGCAATGCAGGTAAGGCAGGCTTCAGTGGTGAAACAGGATGCACCAACCCTGTGGACTCTCCTCCTTCAACAGTGGACTTCCTGTCACTGCAGGCTTTGCTGGCAGGAGTAGCACACCAACTGAGCTGTATTTAAATTCCCCACAGTGCTTGGGAGCAATGCCATGTCAAGAGCACAGAGGGAAATTAAATTAATGAGTGTGGAGGGGTCCTGCCAGGTCAGCAGGGCCCCAGCAGCTGCCTGAGGATGCTGTCTGCCAATGCTAGACTTGATCTTTAACCTAGGACCTGAAACCCACTTGAAAGCATCAGATAAGCCAGAGGCATCATAGGAAATGTAAATTCTGATGAATGATATGGAGTGGGTGGGTGTGTGGCTCCCTCAAGATGTCCTTTCCGTTTTGCCGTGATGACTTGTGCTCATGATAGTATCTGGGTGGTTATACATGATTCTGCTTTCAGGTTTTGTGGCAGACCTACGTACTGTTTCATTTCCAGCTGGTGGATACAAAGTTATGTTCTTTGAAGGTAAAGAAAAAGAACTGTACAGTGGTACCTCTGGTTACGAACTTAATTCATTCTGAAGGTCCGTTCTTAACCTGAATCCATTCTTAACCTGAGGTACCATTTTAGCTAATGCAGCCTCCCGTTGCCGCTGCGCCACCAGCACGCAATTTGTGTTCTCATCCTGAGGTAAAGTTCTTAACCCGAGGTACTACTTCCGGGTTAGCAGAGTCTGTAACCCGAAGTGTTTGTAACCTGAGGTACCACTGTATACGGTCACATGACATTTCTTTCTTTCTTGAACAGTGTAACAGTTTATTTTAACAAACAAAATTGAAAAAGATATACTATATAATTATAAGCGTTAACAATAAAATACCATATATACTTATTTAAGTATTATTATTATTATTATTATCCAAATATATGTTTATTTTTAACCTGCTATATTTTGCATAAATGCATTCCAAATATCATTATAGTTGTCCATCCAAAGTCTACGTCTAAAGTGGAACCTCAGCTCTTGAACGCCTTGGGAGCTGAATGTTCTGGCTCCCGAACGAACAAAAACTGGAAGTAATTGTTCCAGTTTTTGAACATTCCTTGGAAGCCGAACACCCAGTGTGGCTTCTGCAGCTTCTGATTGGCTGCAGGAAGCTGCTGCAGCCAATCAGAAGCCGTGCCTTGGTTCCTGAACTGTTCTAGGAATTGAACAGACTCCCGGAACGGCTTAAGTTCAGGAACCAATCCATTCCTAAGCTGCAATTCTGAACTTGACCATCTTGGAAAGTAAACAAATGGGAAACTTTCATATTACATGAAAGTACCATGAACAGCATAGGAGGTGGTGGCGCCTCCAATTTCCTGAGCAATGCTTACAAATGTATTTCATGCTGTTTGTGCACTTGGAAACAGCCCAAGAAAGCCATCGCCTCCCCTCCCCGCAGTCCCAATCTCCTGCCTAAACTTACTATTTAAACAAGTGTGTGCAAGGAGTGGTTATCAGTGGCAGATTGCTCTTAATGGGGTCCATTATACCCGCAGAAGAGTGCCAAATAACCAGCATCGTCACTGCCTCATCTGCCTCTGTCCCCCACAATCACAGTACTTTGTAGCATTATCCTGAGAGCTGGTAATTGGTGGCTGATAGACGGTGCATGTCATGCTTCCTGCAAAAATGGACTGTGATGACTCCCATAAATAAGCCCCAACCCTGTATGTGTCCCCCAAATGTTCCTAAACAAACATGTTGCTGATGCTCCTGCCTTCAGCCAGTCGCCGTCTACCTACCTCCTTAAAGGTAAAGGGACCCCTGACCGTTAGGTCCAGTCATGGACGACTCTGGGGTTGCGGTGCTCACACGCGGGAGCCGGCGTACAGCTTCTGGGTCATGTGGCTAGCATGACTAAGCCGCTTCTGGCGAACCAGAGCAGCGCACGGAAACGCTGTTTACCTTCCCGCCAGAGCGGTACCTATTTCTCTACTTGCACTTTGTGCTTTCAAACTGCTAGGTTGGCAGGAGCAGGGACCGAGCAACGGGCGCTCACCTCGGCACGGGGATTCGAACTGCCAACCTTCTGATTGGCAAGCCCTAGGCTCAGTGGTTTATCCCACAGCACCACCTGCGTCCCTACCTACCTCCTTACTTGTAAGTTAAAACCAGGCTAGGAGGTGGCACTGCCTGCCAGCTTCCAGGAGGGAGGAGGAGGATGCAGGCAAAACTAGGATTAGTTGGCTCTGTTTCTCATTGGTTCTGGCTCCAGCCTTATGTCTCACCATCCCCAAGAGTCCCCAGCCATCACTGCACGAAGTGACCCTTTAAAAAAACCCACCAAGCTGATCAAGGGTCATGAAGCCAAGCCTTATGTGGAATGTTTGAGGGAACTGGGTAGGTTTAGCCTGGAAAAGAGAAGACCGAGAGGAGATATGATAGCCATCTTCAAAGATCTGAAAGGATGGAGCAAGTTTGTTTTCAGCTGTTCCAGAGGGTAGGACCGGAACCCCTTGGATTCAAGTTACAAGATTCCAATAAACATTAGGAAGAACTTTCTGATAGAACGAGTGGAGTGAATGACCTTGGAAAGGGGTGGACTCTGCTTTGTTGGTGGATTCTAAACAGAGGTTGGATGGCCATCTGTCAGGAATTATTTAAAGGGACCTTTAAAGCCCTTTGTGGCTTAGGGCCCTCGTATCTACGGGACTGCCTCTCCTGCTATGCCCACAGACGACCTTAAGGTCCATGAATAACCATAGTTTAGAGGTCCTGGACCAGGGCCTTTTCAGTGATGGCCCCTGACCTGGTGGAATGCTCTGTCCCATGAGACTAGGGTCCTTCAGGATTTAACCTCCTTCCGTTGGGCCTGTAAGACAGAGCTATTCTGCCTGGCCTTTAATTTGAATTCAGCCTGATCTTTTATTTCCCTTCCCTTCCCTCCCCCTCCCCTTTTTATGAAGATCACCCGCTCTGAGACCCCACAGCTAATTCTCCCCTGGCCTCCTCGCTGGCCCAAGTAGGACCAATTCAGCCACCTAGCCCTGGGGATTATCTAATTGATTTTTGAATTTTATTGTTATTCATGTTTTTATACTGTATTTTATGCTGCTTTTATAATTAAGTGCTTTAAAGTGTTTTAAATTTGTTGTTAGCCACCCTGAGCCCAGTTCTTGAACTGGGAAGGGTGGGGTATAAATAAAAAATTATTATTATTATTATTATTATTATTATTATTATTATTATTATTAAGCTGTGACACCTGCATTGCAGGGGGTTGGACTAGATACTAGATGACCCTTGGTGTCCCTTCCTACTCTGTAATTCTATGATTCTATACAATAAAATAAAAGAATAAAAAGGAAAACATAACAAAAACGCAAAGTATTATTAGCCTGAAAAATATAGTGCCTCAACACGGCCTTAAATATCAGTTTTACTATTCATCCCCTGCCATGTGTGTTAATGATCATAAGTTTAGTTCATTGCCCTTTCCAATTGTCTTTCTCATCTTCCAGACCTCACCCCTTCCTCTCTTCTCTCCTATGGACTCACCCTTTGCTTCTCCTAAAATATTTATAGCAATTCTATTACTCACAAGGAGGATCCCCCCCCCACTTCCTGCACTTTTATAATACAGCCAGCCATGCAATGCCAAGGATTTACGTTTCAAAAATAATAATAATCAGGCTTAGACATCTGTGCAGTGCAGAAGACATTCTCTTCATTTTAAGATGTCAAGCGGGATTAACCCTCCAAGGTTTCTTTCTAAGAAATGATGTCCAAACATCCCAGCTTTTGGCTTCTAAAATATTCACGAAACACCTGTGCCATCTGCCTTCATTTTCAC